AAAGGTGCCACACTTACTGTTTTGAATAGAAAAAAAAAGTTATAGCCGCTTTTGTGGGTAAAGGACTGAGACACGCTAGAATGCTGAAATCTTTATTAAATGAGCAATTTTTTTATGTAATGTGAAGTTATATCTCAGTGCATTTTTTTTTTCACCCGAGATAGTCAATGTTGGGGAAGAAAATATCAAAAAGTTAAAAATCCAGAAATACCCTGCAGTGAAAAGCCAAACCAGTTAGAAAAAATACTAGTTCATTAACTAGTATGTGCCTACAAGTTTGACAATTTTGAAGAACTTAGGCGATTTGCCAAAGCCAAAAATAAAACGCAATTAATTGCTTTTCTTACAAATGACGGCTGTGGCGTCACGTGAAGNTTGCTTTTCTTACAAATGACGGCTGTGGCGTCACGCGAAGACTACTGGTTCTGGTTCTGAAATCGCAGGTTCGAGGCCGCTTGGAGGTGGTTAAGTTTTTTAAAGTTAAATAAATGTAAGTAAAAATAATTTATTCAATTTATAAATAAATAACAAATTTGAAAATCTAATTGCATTGCAAAAAGCATTTAGGGAGAAATGCTTGTGCTATTAAAAAAAAGGAATTAAGCAAAAATATTTTTTTTATTGAATTTAAAAATTACAGTAAACAGCATAAACAAAAAAAATGTAAAAAATAAAAATGAAATAAAAAAAAGAAAATAAAAAAAATTTCCCTGCGCCAGGATTTGAACCTGGGACCTCAGGCTTACCACGCGAGTGCTTTGCTCTGTCGGCCATTCTGACTGCTGGAGCGTCGCGAGCAAAAAGTCACACTTATGCTTTTCACGGGGCATGAATTGGCAGACTATCTCATCAACTGGTATGATGCTACTAGTATTTATACTAGTAGATGCTGATGCATAGCCTGACAATTGACATCTCGTAGGACATCGCAATGTTAAAAATACCAGTCGCTAACATTGAAAAAGGATAGAACGTGAACTAGTTCGGCTGAAACGCAAACCTGTAGAATTCTAGTTCACAACTAGTAGCTTTCCCTGCAGGGATATGTAGACAATTGGATTGGATTTTTTCCTTAAATTTTGAGGGATACTTCGTTTTTTTCCTCAGTGTATATTTGGATACCTTTTCCCATAAATATTCGTAAGTTGAAGGAAATGCTTTTTATTTATGTACGAGCTATTATAACGTTTTTAACAGTGGGCTGCTCATCCTCCAAGCAAAAAAGTTTCCTTTATTCTTGTCACTTTAAAAAATTAGTTTTTTAGCTACACAAACGTGCTATTAATAACGGCAACTAGTTTGCAAATTTTAAAAAGTTTTCCGGCCTGTAGTAGTTAACTGTTATGCAAAAAATCAACTTTTGCATCCCGAGCAACTCCTCTCTAAGCGTTAAAAGGAAATTGACAACCATGCCGATGGATAATATTCAACAATAGCTTGACTGTACTAAATACAACTTATAACTTTTAAATTTTCAGTTATATGTCGTTAAACGAGAATTCAAACAAGCCGGAAATAGAAATTTTTCATGAAGGTGGAATTTACAGACAAAGAGAAGTTTTTGAGAAATTGCTTATTTTCATAGATAGCTCCCAGTCCTGCAGTTTGAATGAAAGACATTGTAACCATAATAGCAGGAAATATAAATTTACTGAACTAAATGCAACAGGTCAAAATTAGTTTTAATTAGTATTATTTTGATAGACTAAGAAACATTTTTTGCATTTATTATTTGTAGAAATCTCATCGTAGTAATAAACATCGAAAATGCGGAAACTTTGACCCGTAGTTGTAGTCAGTAATTTCCCCATCCTTAGACACGGATTTGGGAAACAAAGATCCGTAATTATAGTCAAAAGGAAGTCGACATTAAAGCTAGTTGCAGCTTTTCCATTGAAAATCCCATTGAAAATTATGTCAAAAAGCATATATATATGTATATATACATACGTACATTCAAACATACATGTATACATATGTACCCGTACCCGTCATGCGTCGCTTTATTTCTTTTTTCCCCTTCCCTGTACTACCTATATCTTCCTTCTCACTCATGTAACGCTCTCAGTTTTAAAAATTTCACTCCATTTTTTCGATACCGCCGCCTAAGAAGTTTCACTTCAAAAAAAAATACCTTCTCCTTTTTGTGCAGTCGGTTAAAAACAATTACACCAGCAAGCTTTCAGCGTCAAATGATTTCAGGGTAAAATTGTCAAAGCTCCCAATAAACTTAAAGGAAATAATGAAATCATCAAAACAATTTCAGTCCTTACATTAAAGCTAAAGGGGCATACATTTTGCAATGTGTTTTCTTGTTTTCGCAGACATTTGAAGAGTAGGGGTGCCGCGAAATTTGTTTAGCACAACAAGGGTGCCAAGATGAAAAAAGTTTGGGAACCCCTGGTCTAACCATTTCAACGATTGCTGGTGACACAACTATCCTAAGCAATAGTTCAGACCCTAAAGAGGCTTCTTACAAGCTGCAAGAATATTTGAAAAAGTTAGAGCTATGGCTAGGTTCTTGGAGGATAGAGGTTAACGAAAGCAAGTGTGTTCAGACAACATTTACATTGAAGAAAGAAACTTGCGCACCACTAAAAATAAACAGCAAGGCTATACCACAAAAAAATAGTGTCAAATACCTTGGGATGACACTAGATAGAAGACTTACCTGGAAAAAGCATATAGAAAACAAAATTTCTCAAGCGAAACTAAAACTAGCAAGCTTTCAATGGGTTATAGGACACAAATCTAAATTAAGCTTAGATAACAAGATAATGCTTTTTAATATGATGATTAAACCATATTGGGCATATGGAATCGGGCTTTGGGGCACAGCGTGCAATTCCATTTCCAATAGACTTCAAAGACTGCAGTCAAAAATTTTACGCGCCATATGCGGGCCACCGTGGTACATAAAAAATATGAATATCCACAAATATCTTAATGTAAACACGGTGAATGAGGACATAAGAGGGCTAAGCGCCAGTTACTCAGCACGGCTAATGAACCATCCAAATCGATTAGCAAGAGATTCTTAGCCCGAGATATGCAAGAAGATAAAAAGAAAGGATTTCTCCGATATTATCAAATGATGCGCAATATAATAAATTTCGATGTTGCAGCAGATTGCTGGTGCACCAAAAAAACGACTAGGCGGTTTTTCTTGCAATCTTCCAAACCTCAAGCGGGGTTGTCCAAAATGAAAATAAACGCAGTTGGTTGAGCTTAGGTTAAAGTTTATTCATAAATATCAATTGCGGATGGTAAAACTCAATATATTTCGCAAAACCATGCAGTGCAGAAAAAAGCGGTAGATGAATCGAGAAAATGCAAAAATGTACCAAAGCAATATAAATGTATCAACGATAGCTAACAAAACATCTTCGAACGAAAGCGAGAAAAAGAATAACAAAATGTCAAATGCTGTTAACTCTTGTGTGGGCTCATAACATTAACCCTTGCGCGCGTGTATGCATTAACACTTGTGTGTTACTAAAACCTTAATGTGTGCATGTTCGAACTCAACATACCGCCGCCCTTGAACTATCTCGATATGTTCAATACATGGTTACATCGATAGTATGAAAAAATAATCACCATATTATAATATTATTCGATAAGCTTATTCTTTACAAGTCTTCTTCGCAAAATAGATCTCCTTTCGTCGACAGAGGACAAAGCTTCGCTATAGGTCTAACGTATTCTCCATTAGGGGTCTTTAGAGTAACCACTCTCACATATCCATCAGCTCCAGGGTGGCATTTCAGGACTTTGCCAAGTACCCATTTTGTCGGAGGAATAGGCTCATTGAAAACAGCGACAACGTCACCTTCTGCAATATTACGTGAGGATCGAAACCATTTGGAACGACGCTGTAAGCTCACCAGGTACTCGTCCCTCCAGCGACACCAAAATTGCTGTCTGATCGCAGAAATTACCTGCCAACGTTGATGGAGATTTCCACAGAACCCTTGACCCTCAGGTTCTGGGACGGATTTCAGCGGCTCACCTATTATAAAGTGCCCAGGAGTTAGTGCCTCGAGGTCGCCTGCACTTGCCGGATTTTCGCATAATGGACGGGAGTTTACACAGGCCTCCACTTCGGTTAGTAACGTGCTGAACTCTTCAAAGGAAAGTAAGGTCTCATCCAACACGCGTTTCAAATGGTACTTTATGCGTTTGATTCCCGTCTCCCAGTATCCTCCCATATGGGGTGCAGCCGGGGGATTGAAACGCCACTCGATATTCGAATCGACGAAAAACGAGCGAAGTTTATCGTCAGCCATACACCGTTTGAAATTGTGACGCAGCTCCTTTTCAGCGCCAACGAAATTCGTGCCATTGTCAGAGAACATCACCTTGCAGTATCCTCTACGGTTGATGAATCTTTTGAAAGCGTTGAGGAATGCCAACGAGCAGATGTAGCCCTTGGTGGCTTTGGCTCCGCGGCCATGCGTAAATTTATACAGGTATGGACCTGCGAAATCGATTGCACTGCGAGTGAAACAGCGGGCATAAGTAGCCTTAGAAGCGGGTAGATCCCCCATTGACTGTACGGCGAGATTGCGATTAAGACTCGTGCATTTAACGCACTTGTGGTATATGTTGCGTATCAGGTTACGAGCACCAATGACCCAATACCGACGTTGTAAAACGACTTGCATGATGCGAGGCCCAGCGTGCATAGTGAACTTATGTATGTCGGAGATAATTAATTTCGCTAGAGGTGAGTTTTTCGGTAAAATTGTGGGATGCCTTACATCAGGTGTAAGTTCGGCCTGTTTCAGTCTGCCACCAACCCGTAGAACACCGTTCTTGTCAAGAAACGGTTGCAAACATAAAAGACTGCTGCGTAGCGGAATGGGCCTTTTTGCGCTGCAAAGAAAAATCTCATTAGCAAAATAAAAGTGTTGCGGATACCTAATTAAGCGCAAATCGGCTTCGGCTATCTCCTGGAAACTTGGAGGACCATATCGTTTTTCGGATTTAGCTCGAGCATTGCAGGAAAACCTCAAAACATAGGCGATAATCCGCCGTAACTTTTAATATGACGAATAGTTCGTCAACGCTGACCAATGCTCGTCGGGGTTTACGACATGAACCGGAACATTGTTTCGAGCGCCAACTTCAGTCGTGTGATGCTTGGATGCGGTTTGCTTCCAGAATTGCTTATTGGTGCGGAGAAATGCGGGGCCAGTCCACCACAGCTGGTGACTCAACAATTCTGACGGAGTTACCCCTCTCGAAGCGCAGTCAGCAGGATTCTGCTCAGAGCGGACGTGGTTCCAACAATTAGGCGGTAGGACTTCTTGCACGTCAGCGACGCGGTTGGCAATGAACGTCACCCACCGGCTGGGGTGCGCTTGCAGCCACGCTAACGTGATGGTTGAATCTGTCCCAGCGAACATCGGATATTAAACATCGGAGAATATGTGCAGTTCAGTTGATGAGCCAAACGTTCCAGTACCAAGCCAGCGATTAACTTTTAGATTTACAAGATCTCGTAACTCTGAGCGATGTTGAAACCACTGCGTTGCGATCGCGTCATGCACGACATCATCCCATTCGACTTTTGGAACGCCAAATCTCCTGGAACCACATTTTGGACTTAACCGTCGTTGGGGCGAGCAATCCCAGAGGATCGAAGAGCAAACTAGCGTCCGATAAAAAACGCTCTCTTAGTCAAAACATCAGGTGGTTGCTTAAGATTAACTGCAAATGTGAAATTATCTGCTTCCGTGTCCCAGATGAGACCTAACGCGTGAACATCTTTACCCTCTGCTATGTAATGCGAAATGTTTTTGGATGCGTTCGAGATATTTTCGTTCAGCTCCACACAGTTCGACGCCCACTTGCGAAGCTCAAAACCACCTTCGCTTAGAATATCCGAGACATTCCGTTGCAACATCTGCAGCTCGTTTTTACAGGAGGTACCGGTCAATAGATCGTCCATGTAAAAGTCCTTGAGGATTACCTTAGCAGCCTGCTCAGACTTGTTACTGGAATATTTTGTAGTTTGTTGCAGCGATTAAGGCTAGATGCGATGCAGCCGCTACTCCGTAAGTGACGTGTAACATTCTGTAATCTTGGATGGGTAAAGACGGATCATTGCGCCAAACGATACGTTGTAAATCAAGGTGCTTTGATGATACGCAAACTTGGCGGTACATCTTTGCGACGCCTGCGGTTACAGCATACCGATGTGTTCTGAAACGCATCAGTATCGCGACCAAGTCTTATTGTAATTGCGGTCCCACAAACAAGGCGTCATTTAGTGAGTTACCAGAGGTGGTTTTTGCAGATGCGTTGAACACAACCCTTAACTTCGTTGTAACGCTCGACTCCTTTATGACGGGATGATGCGGCATGTAGAACGCTTGACTTATCGCTTCGGTTACAGGCTCCATGTGGTTCATGTCGACGAGTTCTTGCATGAATTCGTTATAGCGTAAGCGCAACTCGTTGTCGACAGCGAGTTTTTTTTCAATTCGGAGAAGATTCCGAACAGCAAATCTTCGCGATTCTCACAAGGTAACATCAGCTTTTAACGGCAGTTCGACGATAAATCGACCATCAGGTGATCTCTGGTGCGTTGATTCAAAATGCTCTTCACAGAAGCGCTCTTCGTAAGTCAGATGCCTCTTTTGCGGAGCCTCCTCTAGCTCCCACAACCTCGTGAGTGCTCTATCTAACTGCACATCACAATGTAGTGATTGTAGACGTTGGTTTGAGGAGCTAGCGCCGTACACACCTACAAAAAGTGTCCAACCGAATACCGTCCATTGCGTTATAGGCGTCCCATGGGGGCGTTTGCGAATTTCCGAGCAGATGAGCCGATACATAACGTCCACCCCGACCAATAGGTCTATTGGTCCAGGCTTCATAAAATTCGGATCAGCTAAGACCAGCCCTTGAATGTGTGGCCATGTATGAGTGGCTAAGGTCTGAGTTGGCAAGTCACTTGTGATCTTCGGCAAAATCAGCTCATTGATTGCATAACATTGATCTGAGGAATAAGATGAAAGTGAAAGTAAAGTCTCACCTCTAGATCGGCCACCTTGCGAGGATCCAATCCCAGTAATTACCACCGTTGACGAGGTCCTTGGTAGACCCAAGCGTTGAACAAATGACTCTGTCACGAACGAGGCGTGCGGCCCAGAGTCGAACAATAAGCGTGCGGATTGAAAACGACCGGAGCAATCGCGTACTTTCACCAAGGCAGTAGCAAGCAGAACAGTTCTTAGATTTGTAAGTACTAGGTTTGGACTCGACTTCAAGCAGGAAGAAGAGCGTGCGGCAGCGGTGTCTGTCGAAGATCCAATGGCGGATAAAGCGGTTGCATTTTCAACTTGGGCTACGTCTTCGGCAGCGTAGTTAGCCCCTACGTGTTGTACGTTGTCGGCATTGTGAGCAGGAGCGGTGACACTAGTTGCGGACGCGGTGTTGTGCAGTAGCGTATGATGGCGTTGATGGAAAATTAGACACACACGGGATTCTTTAACAAACTTCGATTTAGCATTGGAATC